ACCTACGTGGTTCGTAGTTCTGGGACTATATGGGTATGCTGAAACCCTAGTCCAACTCGGTATTATGCTACTCCCAATGAATTAAGTGGTTAACTGGTTATGACTGAATTTCTGTAAAATACTGGATAGCTCAAAACTGAACATGCAAACTGAGAATGCAACAATTAATCTGATAATGATGCATTAATAACTGAGGCATGTATAACTGAATAACTGAGTTATCTGACCTAGCATGTGTAATTCAAGAACTAAAGAAATACATAGCTAGGGTTCTGAAATTCATGCAATAAACTGAGAATTAACATGATAATCTGATTTGGAACATGTTAATAACTAATTCATGATGATCTGTTGTAATTCTAGAAACCCTAGGTCTGTTCATAATCATGGAATCAAGAATCTGACTGAATTCTAGGGATCTAATGGGTGAAAGGAACCCACTAGTGAAATTCCACATACCTGGTGACGAATTTTGACGGAGAAATCTTTTGATTTCGGGGCTGGAACTGATGGAACCTTGCTGCGTTCTTGAACTAGGGTTCTTGACCTCTTTTCTCCTCTCTTGCTTCTAGTTTTCTAAGTTTTGATTAATGATTTGACTTAGGTAAGTTCTAGTTATGTTTCTAGGCTTAAACTGATTAAAACTTCATGGTTTAGAGTTTAAACGACGTATCTTAGGGGTTAAACGAAATAGGAAAAGACCAAAAAACCCCTGAATTAACTGCTGTCGGAGTGATCGACGGATTGGACTGACGGGCCAGGCCGTAGGTCAATCGACGGTCCATCGATTGGATCCGTAGGTTAAGCCTGCTCGACAGGCTTTCACTAAAACGAGTATAACTTTTTACTCGGAGGTCGACATTTAGCAAACTCGGTGGCGTTGGAAAGATAATTCAATTATCTATCATATCGTAGGTCATGGGACACACAATTGCTTTTGTGCTAAAATTTATGACCATCTGAAGTTGACCCATCAATAATTTTCAGCTAACTGGCTGTTGACCCTAACTTAAGGTCAGACCTACGAACCGTGGATCGATTGACGGTCCGTGCTGGTCGACCGTAGTTTATGTCAGAGACTGGGTAAATGAGGTCTCGATCCACGGACACAGCCCACGGACCGTGGTCTGACCTACGGACCGTGAGTCTGTCCGTGGGTTGAGACTTAGCCGATTTTTCTGAGCTTGGCTGGGAAAGGGTTGCAGTGGTGAACCACGGACCACCAGCACGGGCCGTGGTTTGACCTACGGTCCGTGGATGGCAACCGTGGGTTGCACCTGCAACTTCTCAAAATCTGCATTTTGGTCTGTTTCGAATACGGGGTGTTACAAGTACTACTAGCCTCACCTTTATTTTTCACTCACCCCATTATTTCTATAGATTTTTTTTTTGACACTCAACAATTGCCATCCTTAACTTAGAGATTTCTCTTGAGTTAAGGTGCACATTGTCCTTGTAAGGACCAAGGTCATTATTAAGGTATTCTCCAAGTTAGCCATCTTTAACATAGGCTTTTAACCTTAGTCGAAGTGCACAATGTCCTAAGGACCAGGGCCAATCTCAGATTTAAACTTATGGGGCATCATTTTACTACCTCTTTTATCTCTTCCCCACAAACTAAACATTTCCACCCTATTTACTCTTTCCGCCGATTTTACTTCTCCTCTTAACATAGTGCATTAGGGATTTGGGATCAAAACTAGCGGTATTAACAAAAGGGATTCGGCTTAATTACGTGGGTTAGAACAAAATCAAGGCTACAAGGCTCAATAGGGATATACTAGGGATATTATTTCTGAAAAGGCTAATATTCAAGACAATTCAAAAGCCTATTCTCATCTTTTAAACAAAACATCACTTTTATTTCGTTTCAATACATGTCGGGCAAGTTCTAGACTTAGATGCATTACATGGATACTACAAAAACTCACCGCTCATGGCACAAGTTCTACTCAAGAATGGATCAATCACAGCAACACAATCAATTTATGCACAAGGTTTAATTTAAGCTTATGTTGCAATCATTAAAGTCAAATACACAAGTTCAAATGCAAATATTCATACATCAACTTTAAATCATGCTTTCATACATTTTCCTTTCGGAGTTTCACGCTTTAGCACATACCAACCTAAGACTCAATGACGAAATTTCCCTTTAGACGGTCGTCATCCATCTATCATTGGGCAATGTGACTCAACTATGACTAATGACTCAATCCTAGAAAGACAAAATATTTTTGTATTTTGCACGGTTCAAAGAGACTTTCCTTGGCCAAAGAACCGAAAACAACCTCCAAGGAACCCAAAATAAAAACAAAAAAAAATACAGACTCTACCAAAGTTCAATAATATATATAGACCAGAGATAATTTTCACCCTCACCCCACACTTAAACACTAGCACTGTCCCAATGCTTTACAAAAATTAGAACAATACAAGAGGTAAGGTGAAAACACTTCCATCGCATCACCCTCTTCGGCCTCATCACCGGCCTGAGCGGGGTCCACCTCTTAAAAAGCAAACTCTAACAATGTTAAAAAATATATACAGACCAAATATGATTTCCACCGTCACCCAACACTTAAACATTAGCACTGTCCCAAGTGATTTACAAAAATTAGAACAATACAAGAGGTAAGGTGAAAACACTTCCATCGCATCACCCTCTTCGGCCTCATCACCGGCCTGAGCGGGGTCCACCTCTTTATCAGAATCAAACTATACGTCTGAGCCAGTGCGTTGTCTATCCTCATCGGTGGGAATGTCATCATCCACCGGCTCATGAAACTCTAGACCAATGCCAAGCAAGGCCTTAGCGTGGGCATTCAGCGGATAGCGCCTCTCAACGTCACCCAATTGCACGTCAGTGGAAGCTAGACAACCATTCTGGTGGCGCAGTATCTCTAGGCCATACATCCTAGCCATGATAAGCTCATCCCGCCTATTGCGCTCTGCAGTGGTGAGAATGGGCCAAACTCAATGTCGGGCCCCTTGGTCATCGTGATGTCCACCGGTGCTGGGAATAATGGTTCCATATAGTCCACGTTCTCTTCCGAAACACCTGCAACATGACACAACTTTGTAATAAGGCCACCAAAAGCAGACCTCCGCCCTTTATGAACCCGGGCCTTCCGCATCGCCGTTTTCAGCATAGCCCCAATGTTCACCTCCGCGGCCGTCATCAATGCATAAACTAAACATACCATGTCCCGATTGATATTTGTGTAGTGCAGTCCCGATATCAAATAGTGCATCATAATCTTCAGCCAAATCCGAGCCTCCCTAAGAAAGTGGGCATAGGGGAGAGATTGGTGATATTGCTTCCCACTATGCTTAGTCAATTGCACCATTGACTGTGGGCCGCAGAGAGTATGTCGAATGGCCCGGTATGGTGGGCGTATGTTCAGCTCTGTAAGCACCAGTGGTTTCGCATTCGGTGAAGTCCTCACAATGTCATTGAGGACTGCTGGAGTTATAGTCACATTTACACCTCGCACAGTCACAAAATGTGATCTCGTGTCTGGCGCCCAGCTAGCGTAAAATTCGCGTACCATGTGCAAGTTGCACTCTCCCCGCTCTGCAAAGATAAAGTCCATATGCTGCTCACGGATCCGCCTCAATAACTGGGGGAACTCCCACGCCAAGCTGTCCCTGTCAATACACACATCAGAAAAATATCTATCTTCAGTGTGCTTCTTCCACTATATCTTTCCTTCGGTGGCCACAACTTTCACCTCGAGCCACCTGGTTTGGCCCTTTGGTACTGCGGGTGCGGGAGGTACATTCCCCTACTCCGAACACGCTTCCTTTGACTAGAAGTTGCCACTTCCTTACTGGGTCGGTAAGTTCCAGACATGATATCCTGCAATAAGATCAATTCAGATCCAGCATCTACTCAATAGTGATAAACATGGGTTGCACACCACCCCACACATATTGCAAGGAATTCTCCAGGCGTGGGACTCAAACTTCCCATAAGCGTACAAAAATAAACCAACAGTAAAACACCACACAACCTCTACACATGTCTCATGCACATACCAAGTTCAACAACGTCTACTCAAGGTTCCAGGACTCACAACTACACTTCATACAATGATTTACCCTGAGATGTTACTCAAGAATTCGCACAACTATATGCACACACCCAAGCTATACCCACAATTCATGCATTAATCAACAAAGTACTGTCTACTCAAGAATTCGATATACCCGCTATAAAATTGCACAAGTCACACAATCTTCCCATGACTCATCACATGCCCACACACAACATCGATTGATCAATTCAATTCAAGATTACAAAATAAACACAACCATCATAGTAGTAACGATTCCATTCAACCATACAAACACATTAGCCAAACTAGCCTGTTTAACCAAACCCCTTCAAACCTACAACCCCCATAAGATCAACCAAGGGCATATTCTACTTAAGAATTCGAAAGCGCCTATATCAGTAGTAAATACTAGCAAACACTCCACCACATACACAAACATCAAACAATAGCAACACACACTCAAACACCACCAACATCGCTAGAAAAAGAAATGAAAATGCATACCTGGAGTAGTGTAGTTGCAAAAAAATGGGGGGGGGGGGGGAGGGATGGAGGGTATTGCGGGGTGCT